TGTGGGTGTGGGTGTGGGCGTGTGTGAGTGTGGGTGTGTAGATGTGGGTGGGTGTGGGTGTGTAGATGTGGATGTAATCTTTCTTATCAAACACACCCACACCCACACTCTTTCGATAAAAAACCAACCGTTCAATATTTTTTGAATCGGCTTTCGTCAAAACTCATCAACCACTTGCCTCTATCATATATATTAAAATGAGCGAAATCTGAGGTCATCGATTGAGCAGGTAAGTTCCTGGCTTACGTAGAATAGCTCATATGTGATCACCGAAATGAACTCCCTCTGATTTCAAAATCGCAAAGAAGATTCTACATGAACTGATCAAATTGATCAATCATGGAGAACATTTGAGCAGATTAAAATTTCAGCGACAGGCGAAAGTAGTTAATGTACTGTTTGTATTATCGAATTAAATGAATTCCAATTCATGATACTCTACATACATCGTTACAACTATTCAACAACGTAATGTTTTTTTTTCTGCAGAAACAGAGTAAAATGAAATGCTTCCCAAGACAAACTACAACGATTTTTCTTGTTTTTATAGCTTGAAATGAACAATGTAGATTTGCTAAGAGATGATGTTTTAATTCTTGAATAGTAAGGTGAATTATTTTCGATTTTGGATCGAATTTCTTTGGAGCATGTTATACAGTAAAAACAAGAAAAATTTATCAGTTACCATCGATTCTTTTCATAAACAGATATTGGAAATTTAACCAAGATTCGGGCTGGAAACATGGCACAAATTTTCATTGCTCAATAAAACAGAATGAGGAAAGGTTTGGAGTAATCGCGTCAAAACCAAATAGAACGAAAGCATTAAAATGAGCTGGTAAAGAATAATTAAAAAATATTGAGAACATCTGCAAAAGACAAATGATGTGAAGCGAGAGACAAACAAGGAATAAGAGTCATCAAAGTCTACGCTATTAAATAATTGGCATACTCTATTTGCAATAGGTAACACGAGTTCTGCTCAAACAATCGAGTATAAAAAACGGCATGAATCAGTGCCAGAGAGGGGGGGGGGGTGCATGCGGATGTGTGTGTGCATGTGTCAGCGTGTATTCATTCTATCTTTACTCACGAGCATCCCGTCCCACAGCCAACATCCTTACCCACATTCTTAGTTCTTATCTCCTCTCAACCGATTTGCAATCAGCTACATTATTCGAATCACCAATTTACATTTCATGAATGGTGATTCCTGTCAAGTTTCAGAAGTACAATTATATTTAGTTTTGAAACAATTTATGGCCTCGAATATTAGTTAGTTCTTGTGATGCATGGATTTACCCAGGTTATGGATGAAATGGTTAGTTGAAATATTAACAATGATCACACCCACGCCCTTCATGAAAAAATAAACCTTCAAACTCAAATCGATCCAACAGAGCAGTCACAGAGTATATTCGCAGTAAAACTAAAGTTTTTCATCAAGAAAGCTATTAAAATTCATCTCGAAGCGCGGGTACAGTTATTTTAATGACACCATTGGAAAATTCTTTTTTCAACGATCGCAACTCGTATACTTTGTCTTCGTCTAACTTGCCAATAGGGATTTGAATTTCGAATTTTCCAGTACGTCTTGTATTAACATAGTCTTTCAATGTAGCATCTGGTATTTTTTCACCTTGCACAATAATTGTAGCCTTTAGAGGACGCACTGTGAAGTTTGGTGAGCACGAAGGACATTCTATTGTGATACCAACATCTCCATCTTGATTCATAATAGCGACCTGAATATCCGGTATGAACTGAGATGAATAGTCAATATAAATAGAACCATCTTCGTTAAATTTTAAATTCTTTGATAAGATGACATTATTTCCTAAGGGTTCCCGTGAACAAATAAAATACCATGGCTGTAATTTATCCCAAATTAATTCTTTAATTTCTAAATCGACATTAATTTGTCTTTTATCTGTTAATTGAATTCGATGTTGTTTATTATGGTCCAATTCTATTTTAGCTGCAACATATCCAACGGCCGTTCCTTCAATTGGTTCTTGCTGCTTAGATATTGATGACGATTGTTCTATTAAAAATTTACTTAATAGTTTTTCAATTTCTTTTATTATTCGCGTGAGTAAATCGTTCTCTTTTGCAGCTGGTGAACCGTGGATCATTGTTATGACTTCTGCAATAGATCGCTGATTGTAATGTTTACCAGCTTTACTATTACTGTCGGCAAGAACAAAATGCTTAAAATATTCACTAAGCCAATATCCTTGTGGTTGTTTTACAGCCTTAAATATGTTTTTCAGCTCAGTAGTTTCGACTTTTTCAACTTCTTTAATTGTTTTCAAATTAAAATAATTATGCACTATCAATAATCTTTGTTTTATTTCATCATCTCTATAACCTTTTTCTTGTAAGCGCTTATGTAATGTTTTCAAATATAATTCGTCGTCCAGTGTTAATTGATTAAGTACGAGTATGAATATTTCAGCTGAATTAAATGCTATTTCTTGTACAAATGAATCGGAAAGTTGTTTTTCATAGGATAGCCTGTGAAATGTTTTCGAACTATATTCAACTGGTGTGCGACTGCCAGCTGTATCAATCAGTGCCATAGGTACGTTGTTTGTTTCCTGTAGGAGTGGTAACGATACACTGATGCCATTTGTTCTTTCAATGAATGCATCTCCAAGATTAATATTAGCTAAAAGACGTAAAACATACGTTTTACCAACGTTGTATCGACCAACCACATTGATAACGAATCGGTTAAAAGAGTCTTTTGTTTTATTATCATAAGATTGTTTCCCTAAAGGAAACAATAATGGATATGCTTTTAAAGCATCATATATATCTGTAGGACGAGTTAAATCCACGACGAAATCATATGAACTTCTCTGTTCCTTTTTTGCACCGTCTTTCGAAGTTACAGATAAAAAATTCTCAGCAAGAGTTGGTGGAAGATTTTTAAGGGTCTCCCAAGCATTTGCAGCGTGCCGAATAGTTTCAAGTAATTCTTTAATATGTTGTAAATTGGTCCCAGCCAATCCTTCAGATGACATAAAAGCAAGTACAAGCCAAGCAACGTATGCCATGAAACAAGCCATATGTGTTTTATCTAAAACGCGATGAAGACATAGTTGATTAATGTTCGCAAACACTGAACTGCAATGCGGAAAAATTCAATAATGGAACAAAACAAATCTTAATTCAATATGGAAATATTGATGTTGCTTTGCCGCTGTTGATGATTGCAAGTTGAAAGGCGAAACATTTTTAGAACTATTGTTGTTTGATAGACAACTGACCTATTAGAATGTTTTCAGCTTCGTTTAGAAAAAAACAACACTTGGAATTTACGAATGAAAAATTGATTAGATCATTCATTATCGAATGTGTAGTTAGATAATTATTGTTTCTGCCACAAATGCAACTGGTTTTTTTCTGAAATGATAATGCAGCTTTCAAGGTGTCTCAAACTATTCGATGATGTGAGGAACGGAAGTGTGTACACACCTTCATTCATAGTCGCATCCCATAAATATGATTGTTCGCCACTGGTTGGTATATTTTTACTACTGTGATCAAGTGTGATTCTGTGCCTATTTTTCTGGGTCAATTGATGAAACAGGGACATCACCAGTGATGGGATCGGTTCGGTTCCAAAAATTAGCGAACCAATCCCATTGAAATATGATAATCTAATAAACTTACTAATATGTCTACCTAGAGACTTTAAAAATAAAAACAACTTGCATTAAAATTATGAAGTGGACATCAATTTTGATTTACATAGGACAATCTAGTAGTAGTGGCGGAAGCACTTTCTTTCCTTATAGAAAGCTTGAAAAAGTTTTCTTTTTTATGCAATGATAGAGAAAACAATTTTCTATTTTTCTGTGGTATTTGATCAATCTTCGCTTAGTATCAAAATAAGAAAATTTCGATAAGAACTGTATTTTCATGTAAAACTAGTTGATAACGTTAGATCATATTATCATCCATGCATGTTTTGTTTTTTCTTCTCTTCTCCTTTCTTTTATCTTCTTTTTTTCGTCTCTTCTGATGAGTAGTAGTTCATACATACATATACACTAAAATGCCTGTCCTATTTGTTTTGTGTACGTGCCGTTTATGCGTGTATTTTCAAGAAAGTCAAAAAAATAAAGTTAGGCTAAACTTTAACACTATTCACCTATTTCATATTAATAAAGAAAACTTTTGCTTCTATATTAGAGTGCATACCGCACTTAACATTCTAGCTAGATTTATTCCTTATGAGTTGTATTCAGTTTATGATGATCAAGCTCCTGCTCTTAGAACAGTTGAGAGATGGTCTAAATGGTTTCGTGAAGTTCGAGAAGATATTGAAGATGAAGCGTGACCTGTAAGGCATCTTACTGAAACAACATCTGAAAATATTGAACAGGTTTGCCTTCTTATAAATGATGATCCTTATATTAAAATAGAAGAGATACAAGAGCCAATTCATCTAAGTTACGACACCACTCAACGAATCATCTCCGATCATTTAAAGCTTACAAAAATTACGGCTCGTTACATACCCAAGCATCTGACTGATTTTTAACGGGCTGAAAGAGTTCGAATAGGTAAGCAAAATTTTAAGGAGAAACATGATGTTCTTGTGCTATAATGACTGGTGACTACCATAGTTCGACGGAGTTAGTTTACTTCAAGAACCTTAGTTTCCATCTTTTTTAAGTCAAATGGTTCTGTTCTTATTTATCGTATGGAACGGAGGCAAACTATTGACGATCAGTATTATATTAACATTGTTTGCGACTTCTCGTCGATAGTTAAGGATGTGTCCATTTATCTTGAATAGGAAGATATTGCAATAATACCATATCCACTTAATTCTTCACATTTAGCACCATGTGACGTTTGGTTATTCGACTTAATCAAACAAAATCTGATCGATCAAAGCGATTTAGAATCATTGTATGATGCAGTCACCAAGTTCACGTATTCTTTGAATAAAGAGGAATATAGAAAAATCTTCGATAAATGACTTCAAAGGATGCAGTTGTCCGTAGGATAACCAAGATGATTATTTTGAATATTTTCTGAAATAAACACTCGTTGAACGTGTTTTCTGTATTTCTTTTCTGTTCTACCACTATTATTTTTTGTACACTGTAAAAATATATGGACGGCTATTGATTAGAAGAGACGCTAAAGAGAAGATAAAAGAAAGGAAAAAAGAAAAACAAAGAAAAAAAACAAAATAAAACACGCATGAATGATAATATGATCTAATGATATCAACTAGTTTTACACAAAAAACAATTCTTATCAACATTTTTTTATATTAATGTTAAGAAAAAATTGATTAAATACCACAGAAAATAAAGAACTGTTGTCCCTATCACTGCATGAGAAAAGAAAATATTTTCAAGATTACTATCAGGAAAGAAAATGTCTCCGCCGCTACTATTGGACTGCCCTAGGTAGATGAAAATTGATTCTACAGTAAACATGTAAATAAGTATGGGAAAGCTCTGCTTATAATCAATTTTTTATCATCAAAAAATCGATTTTAATTGATTTTTTTCTGATTAAGAATGTGTTCTGCAGCAAAGAATGATTATTCGCTCTGGTGAAAAGAAGACAATGCGTCGAGCAGCTAAAAACAATAAGCGAATATTCGTTTGTTCGACAGAACGAGAAAAAAGTGTATATTTATGATACAGATGCATGTGTTTGGTTACAAAACGAAAGAAAATGCATATAAATATGGTTTAAGATAAGCTACATTCCCACACTACACACAATGATGTGTGCAGCTTATTATTGCTTGTTTTAACCAATAGGATTGCTTTTCATTCTTTATTCTCATATATCTATACATTTGTTGACTTATGTTGAAAAAATGTGTTTAGCAAGACTTTTGTTGAATTACCAGATATATTTTAAAATGAGATGGATATACAAATATTGCAAATACTCAAGTCAAACTATATGCTATATCCATTTCGATTAATTATTCATTGCAATCACTGAAGATTAAAAAATTCAAATATGAGCCGAGTCAAAATCTAATTGTACATCATAAATTAAAAAACCTTGAATTAATTTCTCTATTATATTGGGAAAATATTTTTAACTTTCATTCGAGAGAAACTAATATCTTCTCACAGAAGAAAATTAAGCGTGTTTTTTTTATTATTTATCGATGTTTAAATTTATTTTTCTAGTCTGCTTATTTACTGTTTTAAATTAAATAGATTTGAATTTTGAGAGCTTTTTACAAAGAAATTTCCTGAAAGGTGAATGAATAAAAAACAAATTTGTTGTAATTAAATAGCAACTTTTTCATTACATAAACTTTTATATGAGTGTTTAATATTAGAATTATTATTTCTTTCATATCCTAAATCATATCGAAACTAATCAACATTCGGCAAAAAACTTCATGAAAATAGTGTAAATGTCACACTTTTCCTTGATATGAAAAAGACATGTTATTCTGTTTCTTTCATGAATATCAACAAAAGAAAAACATCTCGGACTCCACATAAAGACGGACGATAGAAATTTACTTCATGTCTTTCTACCGTCAAAATTCTACCGATTTCTCAAAGTATGTTTGCTTGTAGTTGGTAAAACTGAAATGGAGCGTAGTATTGATGCCAAACGTCATATGATTTCCCAGCATCCGTAAATGAATTTTCATTAAAATAGAATTTTCTTAAAAAGACAACATCACTTTCCATTTCTGTGACTTATTCTCAAGTAAAACAATCCACGTCATTAATTATTTTCAATGCTTTAGTGTTTCTTGCTTTGATCCTTATGCTTACGGTTGAATGCATTCGTATATTGTGTATACAGGGCTGCCAACTGTACCCCATTTGGGGGTACAGTACCCCATTTCGTTCTTTTGTACCCCTGAAAATGTTGTACCCCAGGGGTACGTATTTTGTACCCCATTTCGGTTTTTAAATCTGCATTGCTATTAACTAATCATCTGATGAAAAAAATCAATATCTTGTAAAGACCTCTATAGTAAAAAGTATTGGTAAACAACTGACTAATACAAAGTGGCGTCTATTTTGTTTAATCTAATCTTGAATCATTCTACTTTAAATACTATTTTCGAGTAGACAATGAAATAAATTTCAAGGAATTTATGTTTTGTTGTTCATTATTCTTTTGTTACTTTTTTCTATCATACTAAAAAAGGCATTTTGAACTTTGTATCAAAAAGAAATTCAATTTTAGATTTTGTATTTGATAAATGGGATAATATCTTCAGTATGGAATTGAACAAAAATGATGACATTGAAATCTCGGATGATTCACCTTCAGAGACAGAAGCAGCAGCAACAGAAACTGTTGAAACACATTCGTCTTATTCAAACAAATTAATTACTAATACTAAAAACGAAAAAAGAAATTCAACGTCAAAAAGACGTTGCACTTTCAACCAAAACTGGTTGAAAGATTCTAAATATGCACCGTTTCTCAAGGAATGTCGAACTAATAAACACCTTGCTCATTGCTCTGTTTGTAAATCAAATTTTTCTATTGCTAATGGTGGTACCTATTTGATTAATCGTCATATGGAACAAGATAATCATAAACGATTAGCTGAAACTCAAGAAAAAGAAAATTGTAAAACTAATCTGAAATACATTTTTTTAAATAACTTGTTTTTGTTTTATTATTAAGCACGATCAATACGTGATTTTATTGTTCCATCATCTGCATTAACTAAATTAACTGCAGCTGAACTTAGTCTTGTGTACCACGGCGTCCGTCATGGATACAGTTACATTAGTCAATCATGTACTTTTGATCTATTAAAAAAAATTTTCGGTGAATCTTATATAGGACAGAATATTTGCTGCGGTAAAACAAAAGCTCGTGAATTATCTGTAAATGTTCTTGGTGAGCTACTTCGATTTATACTATTTCTAGAAAAATACTATCTGATAAAAAATACGAAAAAAAATATTTGATTCAATATTTATGTTTAGAAAACATTGATGTTTGATATTAACTTTTTTAAATAAAATATAATATAATTTTAGCTCCATATTTTACTTCTAAAATTATACAACAAGTTCATAAATCGTGCTTTTATTCTTTGTCATTTGATGGTTCTAGCAAAGGGAACATAAAGATGTTTCCGTTTATTATTAATTACTTTACGATCGAGTCTGGTATTGTAAGATCTGTTCTCGAAGTTGTAGAACAGCCATTTGAATCAGCTGAAGCTATTGTTAAAACAATTCATCATGTATTAAAAAAACATAATCTTAATATTGAAAAATTAACATCTATTGGAGCTGATAATATTAATACAAATTATGGTCGATATCATTCAGTTTTTAGTATTATGAAGCTTGAGATTTTAAATTTGTTTAAAGGTAATAGTAGCAGTATAAATTTAAAAAACAAATGCTAAAAATATTTTCTTTTTTTTTCTTAGGAAATTGTTTTTGTCATATTTTATCTAATTCAGTCAAAACGTCTCATCATTATTTACCTGTTGATGTTGAGTCATATTTATCTCAGTTATATAGTCACTTTAGTTCATCGTCAAAACGTGTGGCTGAATTAAAAGAATATTTTGAGTTTGTCGAAGAAGATTATCTAGTAAGTATTTCCAACTCTTTACATTTTAATATAAATATAATACTATCATCTTTTTAGCGTTTGCTTCAACACATAAAAATTCGGTGGCTTAGTTTGTACAACTCAATTGATCGTTTACTAAAAGTCTATGATCCTTTATCATCATATTTTTTTGAAAATGATAAAGAAAATGAAGATCAAACAACATATCCACAGATTATCATCAATTTTTTTTCATCAACTGTGTCCAAATGTACATTACATTTTTTACATCAAGTATTATTTGATATTCAACTAAAAAATTTAGAATTACAACAATATTCTACATCATTTGCTGATTTACATAGAATTATTACTAGTTTATTGAAAAAACTCAACGATCGTCTTGAACAGAAGTATTTTGGCCATCACACCAGATCAATATTGAATTCAATGTCAAAAGACGACCAAGAAAAAACAATTTCATCATTTACACAATATTTATCAAACGTTATTAAATACATAAATAAATATTATGAAGAACATTCATTATTAGCTGAAACTTTATCTATTTTTGGTATGTTTTTTTACCATTAACAACGAATAAATAAGAAATTTCTTTGATTTTAGGAATAATTGAAATTGATCAAATAAAATTTGATCAAATTGAACGTTGTGTGAACATTCTTAAACTTGAACTTGATCATGATCAGTTGTTTGAAGAAATGATCAATTTACAAACAACGTTCAAAAAGGTTACTTCGTATCGTGAACCACTCTATGTTCAAATACAAAAACATGTTGGTAATAACAATTTTATTTTTGATGATACTGAAGAAACACATGAAGAAGAAACACATGAAGAAGAAACATTAATTCATAAAACAACAACATCGAATGATGAATATAATCATCCGAAAATTCGTCCTGATCAACTTTGGGCTTACCTTATTTCAAAAACAACACCAAATTGTCAAGAAATAATAAAATTACTTTCTTTTGTATATTCAATTCCATGTTCTAATGCTTTTACTGAAGGTGTATTTAATCATATGAAGCTCGCATGGACACCTAGTCGAAATTCAATGAATGTTGAAACTGTTGCTGCTGAATTACAGATAAGATTAAATTGTAAATTGAAATGTTATGATTTTTTTTCATTTGTACAAACTGAATCCGACTTGATCAAATGTGCTCGAGGCACACAAAAATATAGCTTTAAAAAAAAAAGCTTGTTCTACTTGATTGTATATTAAATATGTATTAATGTACATTACATTGTGCAATTATGTTTTTGTTCTTATTATTTGTCTTGTTTTCAATTTTGAACTTATGCATTAACTATTATAATATTTTATAAGAGAAAATAACTAATAAAGCTATTTCAAGTATCAAATTGTGAAATATTGTGTTGTTTTCTATAAAAAAGCTTGATTTCATTGATTTTCCCAATTCAATTTACTATTCTAGAAGATAGATAATGTACCCCATTCATGTACCCCGATCGAAATATGGATGTACCCCAAATATACCCCATTTAGATTTTTATAAACCCCATTTCAAAAAAAAAAGTTGGCAGCCCTGTGTGTATATAGCTCAACAGAGAACGAAAGAAAAATAAAATCTTGTTGAACCGATGGTCATGATAATGTCATAATTTTTATGATAAAACAAATTATATTAATGTACATAAATTCTTTTGCATAAAGAGACACGAGCCAAAATCAATTACATAGAAATATTAATGCATGAGCGATTTTCAGTTTAAAGCTAGTATCTGTAATTTCAATCAATATCTAAACATAAATTTTGAGTCTTTTTTCGATTTAGTTTTTTCTGACTCAAAAAAATCCATTTCTTCTTTCTCAAAACGATTATAAAACAGAACTTCTAAATGTTGGGTGTGGGCGTGGGTGAGTGGGTGGATGGGTGTTGATAAGAGATATTCGCATTCACACCCACACCCAGATGCAAAGTTTTGGGGGAACTTCTGACCATTATTGACCTTTACGACCTCCATATCTGCCTGAAAGAAGCATCGGAGAATTTTGAGTCTATGACAACTTTTGCTCTACTTATCGAACTCTATCTGCCTTGAAAGCTTCATCATTTTTCGTCGATTCATTCCCAAAAAACTCCGGAAACAGTTGGAGAAGGCTCCATTAATAAAGATTCTTTGTCTAACACGAAGAACTTACTGAGAGTTTAAAAAATCTAAACCTGGAAGTTTAAAACTCATCATCGAGCAAGTGATATTATAAAGTTCGCTCAATCTCAAAGCGTACTGTGACAGAAGATAAACTCAAACGATTTTTTTCTATCAAGTAATTCAACTAGTTAATTGAAATCTTCAGTCTGAATAGTAATTAGTCATCGAATATTCACTCGATCATATCAATATGGAGAAGAAACAGTTCATTCTTATAGTTTATATCGATATCTAATGCTATCTCAAACGAATATCTCTAGTAGATTCAATATATAGTTAATGACTTAGCTGTTCATGGTGAAAAAGAATTTCATTGATATTATAGCTTAAACTCTCATATTTCGAAACCACTAGAAAGCGAGTTGTTTTTTTCGTGCCACTTCTTCATTTTCTTGTCTAGTTTCAAGTACTATGCGCATACTTCTTGATTGTTTTTTTTTCGAATAAATCTTGTAGAGGTTTCTTCGCTTTATTGAATACATAGAATATCATTGTCGGTCCGCACGTTCTTCAATATGTTTTTCCCAAAAGATCGTAAAAACTTTCCAAAATTAGTATATAGTTTTATTGCAGTGTACATGGATATTGATCTCCAAATGTCATATTCAGCCAGCAATTGAAGAAAGTCCGAATATACAGTTTTGTAGAGCAAAACATGTTCTATCTTTTGAGATATTGTTTGATTTAATTTGTTTGATATATAAAAAAAAAATTATTATATACTGAAAACAGCAAGAAGTGAAAAAACGAAATGGCGGTCCACTAACACATACCAAATGTTTTCTTGATAATTATTGAACGATCACTCAGAGAAGGCTAAAATTTTGGATTCATTGGTTTTGAGTATGGGTGTGGATTAGTGGCGGAGCCAGGGTGGGGCTGGGGGGGGCTCAGCCCCTCCCAGGAAAATTTTTACACCATGTATTTTATTTGCTAACCGGGGCTCAAAGGTCCCTCAGAGGCGGTTGAGCCCCTCCCAGCTCAAAATCCTGGCTCCGCCACTAGTGTGGATATACATTTTTTGCTCCTCTTTACTCAATCCTGCACCTCATATACACCTATATTCTACGCACAACACCCACACCCTGTTATTTTCGATCCAACATTTCAACATGTAAGATTTCCATGTGAGAAAATCAATATTGAAGCAGAAAAAACACTCTTCACTACAGAGTCGACGTTATTGTTTTTGATTGCATCTGTGTTTTTTTTTGGCTCTTCGAAATCTCTATTCTCTAAGATACGAGATCTTCGTGTATAAAAAAGAAATTCATGATCAAAACATATAACTTATAACTATGTTTAACGTGAAAATATAAAGTCTGTCACAGATTTATCCAAAGATTTAAGTGCATTCGCCCTTTCTCGGATTTCTCAAGAATAACTTGACAAAAAATTATGAAACTTTCAGAGTAGATATCTCGATTAGTGGATTAAAAGTTGTCCTATACTCGAAATTTTTAGATGCTTCCTTCTATGAGATGAAGGAGGCACAGAAGTCAAAGGTGTAGATGTGGGTGAACGTTGGTGTTCATATCCTGTTCGTCCTCACCGACATCCACACTCTTCAACAATTATTAGTATATAGAAACTTCGTTGGCTGATTTCCATTTGCATTCGTTAATAGAAAAAGAAATGAGTTGAATGCATTTAGATAGCCTCCAGTTTTTGTTCAATTTTCCGAAGCATAGCCACCAAATAAGTAACCACCTGATGAGTGAATAATCACTATTATTGGACCTTGATTATCACACAGTCGGTAAAACGTAGTGCTTTCAAAACCATCTCTTATAGCTTTATAAGTTAATTCCCGAAGCTGATGGGTTTTGCCATAAAATTCGTTCAATTTGTGTTTCTGCTCTATCGTTAAAAGTGCATCACCAACGAAGATTTGTTCTTGTCTTTTTCTTCTTTTTTCCTTTTCGGTTCTGTTAGAACTTCCAAAAAACACTTCAGTTTGTAGAATTTAGCTTCAGTTATTAAATGTTTGCGTAATCGTTCTTCTGGCAAAACAAATTCACTTGAACTTCTCATGAAATCCAAAATTTCCGCAAATAAATCTCCATTCCTGTCAACAAATATTAGTCCTCTACCATCTTTCTCCAATTTCCATTTGCTCGTCAAAGTTTCAATTGTTGTTGAAAAATCACGTCCATCAACGTCGAACTGCACTTTCCCACAAACTCGTGTTTTAGATAAGTCCGCCTTCAATTCTTCCCATTCATTAAGTTTATTTACAGACGTGGACGTTGTCTCTTCAATGTTCTGTTACTAACTGAGATAATTCTTCACATTGTTTTACTAACGCGTCAGTTTTTTTCAAAGAACTGGCCATTTTATCCCATAGAAAAAGCTAATAGGTACACAAAACTTCCTTTACAAAAGAACACAAAAGCATCAAACGCGATACTTCTTTTTCTCTTTTTCTTTCCTTCTTTACCATGTAAGATTAAAGGAGAGGGAATATGTAACCTGAAATAAAGAAGGGAACAAGCAGCTAGAGACAGGGAGACGAGAAAGAGCTGGGATCATAGACGGGTTTTATTAAAATGGTTGTCAACGAAATGAGAATGTGAGTGTGTGTGTGAGTATAGATGGATATCATCTAGCACACCAACAGAGAAAATATTCTTTATGCCTGCTTTACGGATACCACTCTTGAGTAAAAGCGATATATGTTCGAACAGATATTTGCATAAAATTCAAATTAATCATTTTCGTTTCATAATTTTTATTTTTCTTGAGAAATCAAAATCATAGAATGGAAATTATGCAAAAGTAAGAAACAAAATGTGATGATTTGTTAGCGTCAATAGATGGCGCTTAGTGCCGCTAAATCTATAACTGTGAGTTATTAGTTATTCTGATTCTCTTTGATGGTTCTTTTTTTTTTATCTGTTCGTCATGGCCGACTTGTTTATTGTTGTTATTGATTTTTCTCCTTGATGATTATTTATTATTTGTTGCATTTATTTACAAATAAAAGATATTTATCTATTATATTTAGTGCACATTATTCAAATGTTATATCGACGAAATTCGGGTAGGCAGTTTATAGTGAACCCTCGTTTTCATAGAGTAGACATTAACTTCAATTCGATTTTGATTTAGCCTATGTAATTGACGAAAGATAAAAACACGATAATATTAGAAAAAGAGGCTCACAAATGGTAGAGACGTTGGGCAATTAGTTGTCTTTTTTTTGTGTTAATTTTTTCCTTTCTTTTGGTGTTCGATTAAACTCTTAACTTTACCATTATATTGACTTGTCAAACTATAAAAATTTTTTTATGACTATCAACAATAAACAATCACTCAGCTCTCAATCTTTATTACTTAATTCGCTAAATCTACATACCAGTACAACAACAACAATATTATCTTTAACATCTACAAAAAAAATCAAGAACCCATGTTGCTTAATCCAACAAATACTAATCGTTGTAAGACGATCATACCAACCTCTGATCGACCAATAAATCCACAACAATCTATCATTGTGAATAAAATTAATGATGAATCAACATCTGAACTAGAATATATTACAAATAATTACGAAAACAAATTAGGTTACATATAGGAAGTGATACTATCATGGATACGGCATCAGATTCAAATAATTCGATTGAACGTCGACACCTGGTAGAATCAAACAAATATAATATAAAAATTGACGACATTAATCACCACAATGATGATCAATCTCAAGTAGAAGAGATTGAAGATGAATAATAATTTGATAGTTTCATAATAGAAAATTTTGTTACATTTTCTGTAAAACGAGACGTCAACGAATGGTTTGATAAAACCGTGAGAAAATTCAATCTTTTGATGATTTTTACGAATCCCTACTGTTCCATGTCGATACCACTGATTCTTTTGCATCGAATACTAAATCGAGTCAAACCGAACCTACAACAAATTCAAAAGAAAAACTAACACATGCTTCTAATACGGCTAATTTTACACATCAATCGTCTGCATTTCAATCTATTGCTGTACTTAATTTTAGAGCCACTAATTCTATTGGCGAGTCACTAGATAGTAGATCAACTAATATTATCCCTGACTCTTGCATCTTCGAAAGGTGATCGTCGAAGATCTAATCGAACATTCGAAAATATTTAAAGATAGTAGAGATGATGTAAAAAATTAGATTGAAGAAATTGAACATTTTCTGGATGTTGCACATGCTCCTGATGCTAGTTGATTAGATTTAATTTCGTATTTATTACGAGAAGACGCTCTTCAATGATGCAAAATTAATTAACATATGTTTACTTCATGGGAAATTTTTATACATGAACTTAAACGAGCTTTCAATTCTTCTTTTCATGAAGAGTTATCATTCAAAATATTAGAATCATATACGTCAGGTAAAATTCAATCAATTCGAAGTTTCGTCAATGAAGTTGACTCTACTATGAGTGAAGCAACTAAATTGAAGAATTTCCTCAAAGAAGCCAAACCTAGTATACAATTCGAAGTTCAAAAGAAAAACCTCAC